CCACCAATCTGGTTTTGAACCCCCGGCCTCAAGTGATCCTCCCACCTCAGCCTTCGAAAGTGCTAGTATTACAGGCATGGGCGACCACACCTGGCCTCAGCTGTTCAATTAAAAGTAAATAAAACTTAAAATTTTACATTTCATTGGCAGTAGTGCAGTGTTAATACAGAGTAGCCACATGTGGTTAGTGGCTACAGTTTTGGACAGTGCAGGTACAGAATACTATCAACATAGAAAATTCTATCAGTCTAGCTCTAGGGGCAGATAGTCCTACTGACTTGGGCAAGTCACTCCACAAATGGCATCTACCTCACATGGTTATGGTGAGAATTCAGCGTGTGTATGTATGTGCATGCATACAACATGCATACACACACATAACAGTGCACCCTTTCCTGAAAAGCCTGACACAGGGAGCTCAGACATGAGTGCCACCCACCCCTGGGCAGCACCAAGATGGCTCTAGTCCGGATGCCTTTGTCTCACCCCCATGCCTTTGCTCGGAGTGTGCTCCTCATTTTTCTGCCACTTTGACTCTGTCTCTGATTTGGTCCTGTCTGACATCACTGCTATATGCTTTGCTGCTCTCAATTTCCTCTGCCCTCATGCCAGCAGGAGTCATGCCAGAGATCATATCTGAGAAAGCAAGACAATTTTGTGTGTGTGTGTCTGTGCCCATAGAGGAGTGCTGGTTGTGTTGATATAGTTGTAGATTGGTTGTGTTTACATCGTTGTATATATTGACACGCTTGAGTGTTATGACTTCTTTTGGGGGTGGTCGCCTTTTAAATCATGACTTTTGATGGGATTGAATTTTAGTCTTTGTGAAGACATAAGTAGGCATCTGTCTCTGGGAGCATCCAAGCAGAAAAGACTAAGACTCCCTTGTAGACAGATCACTGGCCTCCATTGGAGTGTGTCTGCATGGCACCACAGGGCTGGAAGACCCTTGGAGGCAGGAATTCAAGGAAATGTATGATGAATTTTGGCACTGCCATCAGAAGCAGAACAGGCATGGAAAACTTGGGTGAGTGGACGAGACAACCTCATCACCACAGCAGAGTTCCATACATTCCTGAATAATGATGGAGGGATTTGTGTCCACTGCAGTGGGGAACCATGAAGGACACATCAAGGGTGTGGTTGGCCTATGGTGCTCTTTGGAGGAATGAATAAAAATGAATAGAAATCCTATTGCGTGTCTGTTCTTTTGGAGTTTGAGGGAAAAGAAAGATCCTTGAGATTTTAACTGGGCTGGAAACCTGGACTCCAGCATCTGGGCATAGGAGGGATGGTGGGGAATCTGCTGGGAAAAGACTGGGCTGTGATCAAGAGAATTTATCAGTATCTGAGTTTTGCCACCTTGGAAGGAGTGCAGGCAGACTTACTATTTAAACATTGGGAGCTTATGATGGTAAAGCGCCTTAGCTCTGGAGCCAGCTGTACCCATTAATGACCCCAATTGGGCCAGCCTTTCTGTAGCCATGCCCTTGGATTGTTGCTCTCCTTTTAGACTTGACTATGTGGTTTGCTTCAGCCACTAGAACAATAGCAAACATGATACAAGCAGAGGCTTGAAAAGTACTTAAGCAGCCGGGTGCGGTGGCTCACACCTGTAATCCCAGCACTTTGGGAGGCCGAGGCGGGCGGATCATAAGGTCAGGAGATCAAGACCATCCTGGCTAACACAGTGAAACCCTGTCTTTACTAAAAATGCAAAAAATTAGCCGGGTGTGGTGGTGCACACCTGTAGTCCCAGCTACTCGGGAGGCTGAGGCAAGAGAATAGCTTGAACCTGGAAGGTGGAAGTTGCAGTGAGGTGAGACTGCGCCACTGTATTCCATCCTGGGCAACAGAGCGAGACTTTGTCTCAAAAAAAAAAAAAAAAGTGCTTATGCACTGGGACTTCCTCTTTTGCTCCCCTTGGTACCCCTACCACCACTGCCACATCCAACCCCCAGGCTGGCTGAGCATGGTGGCTTATACCCATAATCCCAGCACTTAGGGAGGCAAAGGGAAGAATTTCATGAGCCCAGGAGATCGAGACCAGCCTGGGCAACATGGCAAGACCCCCATCTCTACAAAAAAGCAACTACAACAAAATTAGCCAGATGTGGTGGTGTGTGCCTGTGGTCCCAACTACATCGGGGAGGCTGAGGCAAGCAGATTGTTTGAGCCCAGTCGAGGCTGAAGTGAGCTACGATGGCTCCACTGCACTCCAGCCTGGGTGACAGAGCAAGACAATGTCTAAAAAAATAAAAAGAAGGAAAGAAAAAGAAAAGACCTGGACTAACCTGCTGGGTAATAAAGAAAAGAGACACATGGCCCAGTCATCCTTGATCCCCGCCACCCATAGCCAACCGACCTCTGGAACAAAGCTCCCTAGCTGATAGGCAGCTGAACCCTGCTGAGACCAGCGAAACAACTGCCCAGCTGATCCCAGACCAAGTGGCAACCCAGAGAATCATCAACTAAATAGGTGATTGTTCTAAACCACTAAATTTTGGAGTGGTTTGTTATGTAGCAAAAGCAACTAATAACAGACTTGTTCTCTCTGTGTGTGATGTGGTCTCTTTCTGCCCAACAACATGACTCAGTGATTAAAATCTTAAACTCTGCCACTTTTTAGGCTGTGGGACCTCCAATGTGACAGCCCTCTGAGCCTCCGATGTCTCCTGAAAACAGGGATGCGAATAATAGTGCCTATCACATAAAGTAGTGAAAATAAAATGAAAAACAGCTTCTAAGGGGTCATGGTGGTCATTTGTGCTGTTAATGAAACATGTCCAGTTCTCTGCCTTCTGACCTTGGGGCAGGATCTCACTTCCTGGTCCCCATGTGGGCAGGTGGGCCATGTGACTAACTCCATCCAGTGACTTGTATTAAGTCACTTCTGGATCACAGCGTGTGATTACCCATGGTAAACTTCCCATGACACAGAAATTGGCCACATTCAAATTGGTGGATGCTTTATTTATTTATTTAAGACAGGGTCTCTGTCAGCTAGGCTGGAGTGCAGTGGCAAGATCTCAGCTCACTGCTGCCTCCACCTTCCAGACTCAAGCAATCCTCCCACCTCAGCCTCCCAGGTAGCTGGGACTACAGGTGTGCACCACCACGCCTGGCTATTTTTTTTTTTTTTTCGTATTTTTGCCCAGATGGGTCTCAAACTCCTGGGCTCAAGTGGTCCTCCTGCCTCGGCCTCCCAAAGTGCTGGGATGACAGGCGTGAGCCACCACACCCTGCCAGTGGCTGATTTATGACTATGATGAGCAGAACACCCTCTGGATAGTGCTAGGGTGAAGGAAAAGTTAACCTTTTGTGAATGGGCAGTCATTCAGCAAATATCCACTCCTCTCCCTCCCGCTGGAGGGGGAGTATATTTCCCTGCTCCACTGATGGGTTTGACCATTTGATTTACTTAATGGAATTTTAGCAGACCTAACCTTAGCAAGGGCCTTAAATGCCCTTGGCTTTTGTGCTCCCGTGATGTGCCATGAGAACATTTGCCAGGGAGCTGCTGATCCCAGAAAATTGTGGAATCTCATGGAAGAGACCTGAATCCTCCCAAACTGGAACCAAAGCAGCCATCCCACAAACCCTTAGAAGAATGCTTGTTGGTATAAGTCTCAGTTTTCATGTTAGGAGGCCTAGGTGGGTGGATCACTTAAACCCAGGAGTCTGCGACCAGCCTGGGTAACATGGGGAAACCCTGTCTCTACAAAAAAAAAAAAAAAAAAAAAAAATCACAGGAAATAGCTGGGCGTGGTGGTGCATGCCTGTAGTCGCTGCTACTAGGGAGGCTGAGCGGGGAGGATCCATTGAGCCCATGAGGTTGAGGCTGCAGTAAACTGTGATGGTTTCACTGCACTCCAGCCTGGGAGACAGAGTGAGACTCTCTCTCAAAAAAAAAAAAGAGAAGTCTCAGTTTTAGGATGATTTGTTATACAGCATTACTACAGTGTTAGTTAATACAACTTTGTTGTTTTAAACCACTGAGATCAGGGACTTGTTTTGTTACTGTAACATCATCTAGTCTGTCCCAATTGATGTCAATGTTTAGCACCTGTCAACTAATGGCCACTCAGTAAGTGGCAGCTATTATGATGATTACTGTTTACTCAGGCATACATTGTCTTTAGAATCCACATGGTCTTAAAGGTGCTAGGCATTGCACTAGGCGCTTTTTAAATTGTCTTTCATTTGACTCTTACAACAACCTTGAGGTTATAACTATTAATATCTACGTTTTGCAGACATGAACATTGAGGCAAAAAGAGGAAGCAGTTAATTGAGAGAGATGATCATGGACTCTGAAGTATACCAGACTTGGGTTCAAATCAAGGTTCTGATCCTCCCTAGTTGTTTGACCCAAGGCAAATGACACCCACAATGTATGCCTCAGTTTGTTCATCTGTAGAGTGGGGTTAATAGTATCAACCTCACAGAGTTGTTATGATCATGAAATGAGGTATAGCATGGAAAACACAGCACAGGGACCTGGCAAAGAGTAACCCCTTCATAAAAGGCAGGGCCGCCAGGAATGGTGACTCACACCTTGTCCTCCCAGCACTTTGGGAGGCCAAGGATCGCTTGAGCCCAGGAGTTCAAGACCAGCCTGGGAAATGTAGTGAAACCCTGTTGCTACAAAAAATAAAGAATTAGCAGGGCATGGTGGTGCACATTTGTAGTCCCAGCTACTAGGGAGAACAAGGTGGGAGAATCACCGGGCACGGTGGTGCATGCCTGTAGTCCCAGCTACTAGGGAGGCTGAGGTGGGAGAATCACTTAAGCCCAGGAGGTTGAGGCCGCAGTGAGCCTTGAATGCACCACTGCACTCCAGCCTGGGTGACAGAGTGAGACCCTGTCTGAAAAAAAAAAAAGAAAGAAAGAAGGCAGGGCCTTCCCTCTCTTCCTCAAAAGGAAGGGATATGAAATGAGGATTGAGACCCCTTATTTCCTGCATTCTATCTCCTCAAGATACATCACACCACAAGGACTCAGGCTTGCTCTATTAACTTTTTTATAGGCACACGGGGAGTTACAGGCTGAGGACAAATGGGGACTTCACGCCACGTATATCTTCCTCGGTTCAGATAGCTTTCCAGGGGGAGTGAGTGCACTCTGTCTGGTGGAGGAAGAGGACATGGGTGCCTGTGGGCAGTTCAGCACCAGGCTTGGCGAAGCACATACTCTCTGTAGCACAGCCCCGCATGGCAAATCTGGGTTTGAAGATACCTGAAAGGGAGATTTCAGACTGGAATCAGGGACCTCAGCCCCTTCTTCCTCATAATCCCAGAACACATCCTCACCCACTTCTCTGGAATCCTCTCCTTCCATGGAACCTAGAAGTTTGGGCCTCTAGTTCTGTTTCCTTCTGGAGAGATCCAGGCACCACTCACCAGCCTGCACGTGTCCAGATAAGGAGACGCAGCGGTTTTCCTGGCCAGTACAGCGGGTCATGGGCCCCATGCATTTGTCCCTGAAGGTTGCAGTGCAGGCGGGGCACATCAGGCCATTCTCAGTACGATCGGTCAAGGGAACTGAGGATAAGGATGAAGTGTAAGGTGAATTAGGGATGTTTAAACCGTTCCCCCAACCTCCCAACAACCCCGGGGAACACCAGGGTTGCTAACAGACACTGCATTTTACAGGTAAGGAAACAGGCTCAGAGCCGGCAAGTAGCTACAGCAAGGGTCAGTAGAGACCCAGAGCACACACCACGCACCACAGGCTCTTACCAGACAAAAAGGCACTGTTGCAGCCGTCGCTCTGGCAGCAGAAGGATCTGGTTACCATGTAGTCCTTGGGGCCCATGGTGGTGGATACAACGCCGGAGTAGCAGTCCTGGGACCTCATGCAGCCCTTGTAGGTGTGCACCCACTCCTTGCCCTCTGTGGGATGGGGACAGGCAGGACGGTGCTGGCTGACCACTCCCTGGCCTCAACCCCTGCCTCAAGGTCTCACCTAACCCTAGGCCTCCCCAACCCCACAACTTCCTGGGGTGGTCTCTTTCTTGTTTTTCTTTCTTTTTTTTTCTTTTTTTTAGACGGAGTCGCCCAGGCTGGAGTGCAATGGAGGCGATCTCGCTCACTGCAACCTCCACCTCCCGAGTAGCTGCCATCACAGGCGACCGCCACCATGCCCAGCTATTTTTTTGTATTTTTAGCAGAGACGGGGTTTCACCATGTTGGCCAGGCTAGTCTCGAACTCCTGACCTCAGGTGATCCCCCCACCTGGGCCTCCCAAAGTGCTGGGATTACAGGCGGGAGCCATTGCGCCTGCCCGGCCAGGGTGGTCTCTTTCAAGTCCCCTAGAGCCATGCGGCCTAATCTGTCTGAGCCATGACCTGGAGTGGTTTCTTAGGTAGCCCCCCCTCCCGCTGCCATAGCCCCTAGTCGGCCTTCGGTGGTCTCTTCCAGCTCTCCATTGCCAACCTCAGCCTGCCGGATGTGGTCCCTTCCACCCCACCCCACCCACGGCCACCCCTCTCTCCCTGTCCTGCCAGGATTGCTCTATTTCAGGCCGCCTATGGCCACCCCCATGCCTTCGTGAAATGGTCTCTTCCAGCCTCCATAACTCCCCGCCACTCCCCCGCCCACCCTGTAGTCTCTTTCAATGAACCCCAGTCCCAGCAACAGGCATCCTCCTCTCTCAGATCCTGCCATGGTCACTCCTCAGACCTCCCATCAAGGGTCTCTTGCTGCCCCTCTTAGCTATTTTCAGGTCTATGTTTAAGGTGGGTTCTTCCAGCCTCCCCGGCCTTCCCCCTCCCCACCATGTGGTGGTCTCTTCCTACCCAATTCACTGGTTCCCCCTTCACCCCATCGAGGGGTCCCCCAGCTCCCTCTCCTCCCTTCCCCAGGGTGCGTTTCCTCTTCTATGTCGGGATGGGGGGGTCTCTTCAAGCCTTTCAGGTCCTTCCCTAACCCACCAACGGTGGCTGGGTGATCTTCTATCTCACTTTCCTTTCGCAGCGCCTCCCGACCAGTGGTTTCTCCCTGCATCCGAAGTCACCTTCATTCCCTCACCAGGCCTCACCATCTCTCCTCCTGTGACTAAAAGTCTCTTTCAGCTTTGTATAAACATCCCTGTTCCCCACTGGTCTCTTCCATTGCTCCCTTTCTCCTCCATCCTTTTTCAGGTCTGGGGTGGTCTCTTTCATTTAACTCATGCCCATCTTCTCTCTTCCATTTTATTTTCTGAGACAGGTTTCCCTCTGTCACCCAGGCCGGAGTGCAGTGGTGTGCACTTAACTTACCGCAGCCTCGATCTCCCAAGCTCAAGTGAACCTCCTGTCTCAGCCTCCCAAGTGGCTGGGACTACAGGCATGTGCCACCATGCACAACTAATTTTTTTTCTTTTTCTGTAGAGATGGGATCTCTTTTTGTTGTCCTGGCTGATCTCAAACTCCTGGGCTTAAGCGATCCTCCCATCTCAACCTCCCAAAATGTTGGGATTACAGGCGTGAACCACCGTGCCTGGCCTCCCTTTTATTTTGCTCATCCACATCTCCCCCTCCCTGTCTCTGCTTCTCCTCTTTAAGATGATTTGCTCAGCCAGGCACGGTGGCTCATGCCTGTAATCCCAGCACTTTGGGAGGCCGAGGCGGGAGGATCACTTGAGGTCAGGAGTTGGAGACCAGCCTGGCCAACATGACGAAACCCCGTCTCTACTAAAAACAAAAATTAGCCAGGCGTGATGGCACGCACCTGTAATTCCAGCTGCTTGGGAGACTGAGGCAGGAGAACTGCTTGAACCCGGGAAGTGGAGGTTGCAGTGAGCAGAGATCGTGACACTGCACTTCATCCTGGGTGACAGAGCGAGACTCCGTCTCAAAAAAGAAAAAAAAATGGTTTGTTCCATACTTCAAGGTTATCGTCCCTCTCCTGTTTGGGATGGTCCCTTTTCTGTCTCTCCCACTACTCCAACACTCCAACATCATCTCTCCTCCCTCTGCTGCCAGGAATGACCTCTTCCTTTTAACACTCTCCCACCCCAGCCCAGCCTCTTCCTTCTCTATCCACTCCCCACCATTTCCACCTCCTGCCAGTTAGATTCTTCCCCTCTCACTATTTCTCTGCCCCCCCACACAATGTCTTTCCTTACCCCTCTTCTGCCTAAGAAAGTCTATTAACTCTCACCCCTCCCCCCGTTTTCCTTCTCTTTAGGACAGTCTCATTTTCAGAATCCCGTGACAATAATGATTTCCATCACACCATTTATTTCTCTTCCCTCCATCTCATGATGGTCTTTCCCTCTTTCCTGCTCTCCACTGATTTCTTCCCACGCTCCCCCATCTTGAGAACCATGATGATCCCCCCTCAGCATGGTAGTCTCTTCCACCCTGAAGGTACACCCCATCTCCCCACCAGGTCCCAGGCCACATCGTCTTACTTGAAGTAGCCTTCCCCACCAGGAGCACACATGTGTCCTTGTCGCTGCTGCAGGTCCTCATTTGGCCATGGCACCTGCTCCCGGGCGCCTTACATATTTCACAGCGTAGTGGGCACCCTGCAGTGTAGACAGAAGGCGAGGCTGTAGTCATGGGTGGTGTGGTCTTCGGACCACAACTTTGACTTAGGACTTTTGTGTCCTGAGAGAGGAGGGACCAGCAGCTCCCTGGTTTTTCATGGTCAGGATGTTGACCGCTGCCCAAGGAACTGTCCAGAGTAGGACGAAGAAGCAGTGGTGATGCCAGCAAAGCTGCTTCCAGGGACGGGAAGCGACTCTACCATGAAGCCTGTTTGCCTAATTACGTGGCTGGGGATTTTGGATGCCAGGGTCCTCTGAGAAAGCTCAGGGGCAGGGAGGGGTTGTGGTGGAGGTTTCCATTGACTTTTGTGAAACTTCAGGTCCAGCTGGTTCCTGAATGTGGGATTCTTCTCCTTGAAGGTACCACGTAGGTCTTGTAGACAGCGGGAGCTCAGGCAGGGGGCCCTGAGGCTGGGGACTGCATCCCAGGTCAAGGAGGGAGAGTGAGGACCAGGAGGGCAGAGGACTTGAACTTCTTGGTCCTGAGAGATGGGAAATCTAGGGGCCCAGATACCTGGGTCCTGGGGAAAGTGAGGCTTGCCTGGACTCCTGTGTGCAGGGGAGGAGGGGACTGGGGCCTGAATTTCTTAGTCTAAGGAGAAAATAAATCTCTTTCCCTCTTTAAAAAAATACATATTATATTAATTTATTTTTTTGAGATGGAGTTTTGCTCTGTCACCCAGACTGGGGTGTGCAGTAGTGCGATCTTGGCTCACTGCAACCTTTGCCTCCCGGGCTCAAGCAATCCTTCCACCTCAGCCTCCCAAGTAGCTAGGATTACAGGCGCCCACCACCACACTCAGCTAACTTTTTTTGTATTTTTAGTAAACACAGGGTTTCACTATGCTGGCCAGGCTGGTCTCGAACTCCTGACCTCAAGTGATCCACCTGCCTTGGCCTCTTAAAATGCTGGGGTTACAGGCATGAGACACCGTACCAGACTTTCTCCCTCTTTTAAAAAATTATATTTTTAAAGATTTCCCTTTCCAGCCATGCTCTCATCTGATTTTCTAGAACTGAGATGTATTTGGGATCCTTCCTGGAGGATGGAGGATTCAGAGCCCACCAAGCCCCTCTCTCAGGGACCCAATCACAGAAGCTTTTCTTCTCTGGGACCCCCAGGCTTTCTCTTCCTTTACCCTTGACCTCTTCCATAAATCTGAATTTCCAGAATGTCTGCCCATTCACCTTGAGGACTTGCTGAAGGCTCTCTCTCTCTTTCTCTCTCTCTGTCTGGGACCTCTCTCTTCCTGAGGTTCCAGAGAGAGAGTCCAGGTCCCTTGTCACTTACCAAGACCCAGGAGAGTGCAGAGCAGCACGAAGGCCAGCAGAAGGGTCCCTTGTCTCCTGGAGGGCCTCATGGTGTGTGTATCGGCAGTTCCTAGTCCCCAGTTTTTATAGGAAGCTGAGGAGGGGCGGGTCCGTACCCACATTCACCCTGCGGGGAGAAATAGCTGAGGTCAGAACCCAGGGCAGTCCTCTGTGGCCTCCGGGTTGGGAAGGCGGAACCAGAATCCAAAGTGACCTGGGCATCTTGTGCCCAGCCCCCCACCTCCATGGATACCCCAGGAGTCTGGGCTTCCAGCCCCCTCTTCCATTAGAACCCAGAAAGTCACTACCCTGTTTTCTCACCTTCCCACAGCCCATTTTTGTTTGTTTGTTTGCTTGAAGACCAAGACGGAGTTGGGTCACTTGATTCCCAGTGGCTGCAAGAACTGGGATGCCCTCTCCTTCTCTCTCTTTCCTTCTCCTCCCAAGGAAGCACCCAGTGTGGATAGGGCCCCACCTGGGAGCACCCAGCATGTCCAGGCTGGTCCTGTGGGTGCGGGGTGCCTTGTCTCCCTTCCCTTCTCTTCATGTGCTTGGCTCACACTCCTTGGATGTTTGGGCTGTCTCCAGCTGCGACCCCACCCTGGGCTGCACCCTTGGCTCTCCAAGGGACCGAATGAACAGAGGGGATGCCTGTCAGCAGCCATAGGCGGGCGTAGTAAAAGACAGATGCCCACAGTCTACATATTGGGAAACTGAGGCTTTTTTGGACAAACTCCAGGATAGGGGTGTGTGTATGGCGGGATGGGGGTTGGGCACATACTTTGCGTTATATTTAGGACGCTGAACCCTTCTCTTTTGGCCTCAGGCATAAGGCTGAGACAGATCTGATATTTTTTTTTCCGCGCGCGCGCGTATGTGTATGTGTATGTGTGTGTGTGGGGGGTGGGGCAGGGGGACAGAGTGAAGAGTGCAGTCGCCTGAGCCGTTTGAGGACATCCTGTTGCGTAGAATCCAGGTTTCCTAGGAAACTACGAAAATTCACTCAGATTTGCTGTCCTAGCCCAGTGCGGTGGCTCACGCTTGTAGTTCCAGCACTTTGAGAGGCCGAGGCAGGTGGATCGCTTGAGCTCAGGAGTTCGAGACCAGTCTGGGCAAGATAGCAAGACCCGCCGCCCCCTCACCCCGTGTTTCCACAAAAAATACAAAAATCAGCCGAATGTGGTGGCGAGTGCCTGTAATCCCAGCTACTTAGGAGGCTGAAGTGGGGGGATCCCTTGGCCCCAGGAGACAGAGGTTGCAGAAAGCCGAGATCCTGCCATTGCACTCCATCCTGGGTGAGAGAGCAAGACCCTGTCTCAACAAAAAATTTTAAAAAATAATAAAATAAATAATAATAATACAGCAAAAAGATTTGCTTTCTAGGCTCCAGTGTGAGCGGTGACTGCATCGTCCAATGAGAATGGCGAATTTCTTCTAGACACCAATCCCGGAGGTCGCTTCTGTTGCTAGGCGCCTAGAAAGCAAGGTGCGGACGTCATCGGGAGGCGGGGCTAGAGCGGGGGTGTGTGGCAGAGGGAGGCGGGGCTGGAGGAAACGCTCGTTGCTAAGGAACGCAGCGCTCTTCCCGCTGTGGAGAGGCGCGACTGGGCTTGCGCAGTGTCGACGCCAGCGCCGGCGCGCCGGGGTTTGAAAGGCCCAAGCCTCGCGCGCTTGCGCGCTTCAGCCCGCGCAGGGCGCACCCCACCCCCTCCCACCCTCCCTGCCTCTCGGACCCCAGACCCTACCTCATCCTTCTGGCCAGGCGAAGCCCACGACGTTGACATGCCGGAGATCCGCCTCCGCCATGTCGTGTCCTGCAGCAGCCAGGACTCGGTGAGGGACCTGCATGGGGGAGGTTGGAAGACGTGAGGGAATTAATGAGGACAACTCTTAAAAGAACTCTTGGGGTTCTTCTTGGAAGTCTAAGGAGAGTCATGGGATTTCCAGGAGACTAAAAGTGAATTGTGGAGAGATGTTGAATTAGGGACGTTCCGGCGTCTAGGGAACGAACTTCCGGAGAGAAAAGGAGGAATAAGGAAAGCTTTCTTGGAGAGCCCATAGGTGAACTTCCACGGGAAAGTGTTGTAAGGGAAACTCCAGGCAGACTGTGGGGGGATTAACGGGAGAGCTTAAGTCTGGAGGATCGTAGAGGCCTTGGGAGGACTCGAAGGAATCAACTGAGAGCTGGAGGCCTAGCTGTCATTTCTGTGCTCTAATTCTCCTCTCCCACTGTTGTTTCCAGACCCACTGTGCAGAAAATCTTCTCAAGGCAGACACTTACCGAAAATGGCGGGCAGCCAAGGCAGGCGAGAAGACCATCTCTGTGGTTCTACAGGTGATCCTGCCACCCCACCTCCTCCTCACTAGGAGTCTGGAGTCCGGGGTATCAGATTCTGCTCCTGAACCAACTGGCAATGGGTTGAGTCACTTTCTTTGCTGGGCCTCAGCTTCCTTACTTGGAAAATGGGCGGCATAATCCCTGTGCCCCTCAGCAGAGAGCAAAGGAGACCCAAGGATGAGGTCCAGGATGACCATAGGAATCAGTGTGTGGTCCTGGCCTGGTGGCTTCTACTTTCTGGGTTTCAGTTTCCTCAGCTGGAACAAAATGAATCATTGCCACGTACCCTGCCTCCTGCAGCCAGTGGGCTCGGGGCTGGAAGGTGTCCAGGAAGGTCATCTAAGCCAATCAACTCCACTTTAAAGAAGGGGAAACTGGCTGGATGCTGTGGCTCATGCCTGTAATCCCAGCACTTTCAGAGGCTGAGATGGGAGGATCGCTTGAGCTCAGGAGTTCCAGACCAGCCTGGGCAACATATCAAGAGCCTGTCTCTATTTTTATTAAAATAAATACTTTTTTTTTTTTTTTAAATAATAATAGGCCAGGTGTGGTGGTTCACACCTGTAATCCCAGCACTTTGGGAGGCCGAAGCTGGAGGATCGCATGAGCCCAGGAGTTTGAGACCAGCCTGGGCAATATAGTGAGATGTCATCTCTACCAAAATTTTATAAATTAGCTGAGCATGGTGGTGTGCACCTGTAATCCCAGCTACTGGGGAGTCTGAGGTGAGAGAATTGCTTGAGCCCAGGAGATGGAGGCAGTAGTGAGCTGAGATTGCGCCATTGCACTCCAGCCTGGGCACCACAGCGAGACCCCCAAAATATAAAAAATAAAAGAATAGTAATGAGAGCTAACATTATTCAACATTACCTGCCAGTCACTGCTCTACACACCTCACTCACATAGATTAGCTCATTGAGTCCTCATAAACCCCAAGAGGCAAGCTCTGTTATCCCCACTTTTACAGATGAGGAAACTGAGGCCCAAAGAAGTTATACAACTTGCCTGACAGTCAGTCTTTTATTTATCTATTGAGACAGAGTCTCACTCTGTTCCCAGGCTATAGTGCAGTGGCATGATCTTGGCTTGGTTCACTGCAGCCTCTACCTCCTGGGCTCAAGCAATCCTCCTGCCTCAGCCTCCTGAGTAGCTGGTACTGCAGGTGTGTGCCAACATGCCTGGCTAGTTTTTTTTTTTATTTTTTTAGAGACAGGGTTTCTACCATGTTTCCAGGCTGGTCTCAAACTCCTAGACTCAAGCAGTTCTCCTGCTTCAGCCTCCCAAAGTGCTGGGATGATAGGTGTGAGCCGTTGTTCCTGTCCTGGGGGCTGGTTTATGACTATAAGGAGCAGAACACCCTCTGGATAGTGCTAGGGTGAAGGAAAAATTAACCTTTTGAGAATGGGCAGTCATTCAGCAAATATCCACTCCTCTCCCTCCCGCTGGAGGGGGAGTATATTTCCATGCTCCATTGATGGGTTTGACCATATGATTTACTTAATGGAATTTCAGCACATCTAACTTCAGCAAGGGCCTTAAATGCACTTGGCTTTTATGCTCCCATGATCTGCCATGAGAACATTTGTCAGGTTACTGCTAATCCCAGAAAACTGAAATCTCATGGAAGAGACCTGAATCCTTCCAAACTGCAGCCAAAGCAGCCATCCCATGAACTCTTAGAAGAATGCTTGTTGGTGTAAGTCTCAGTTTTCATGTTGGGAGGTCGAGGTGGGTGGATCGCTTGAACCCAGGAGTTTGAGTCCAGCCTGGGTAACATGGGGAAACCCTATCTCTACAAAAAAATACGAGAAATAGCTGGGCGTGGTGGTGCATGCCTGTAGTCACAGCTACTAGGGAGGCTGAGTGGGGAGGATCGATTGAGCCCATAAGGTTGAGGCTGCAGTGAACTGTGATGGTTTCACTGCACTCCAGCCTGGGAGACAGAGTGAGACTCTCTCTCAAAAAAAAAAAAAAAAAAAAAAAAGTCTCAGTTTTAGGATGATTTGTTACACAGTTACACAGCATTATTACAGTGTAAGTTAATACAACTTTGTGGTTTCAAACCACTGAGATTAGGGACTCCTTTGTTACTGTAACGTCATCTAGTCCATCCCAATTGATGTCAGTGTTTAGCGCCTGTCAACTAATGGCCTCCACTTCCCAGGTTCAAGTGATTCTCATGCCTCAGCCTTCTGAGTAGCTGGAATTTACAGGCATGTGCCACCATGCCTGGCTAATTTTTGTATTTATAGTAGAGACTGGGTTTCACCATGTTAGCTAGGCTGGTCTTGAACTCCTGACCTCCGGAGTTCAAGGCAAATTAGCACCAAATGCTAATTTAAGTGATCCACCCACCTTGGCCTCCCAAAATGTTGAGATTACAGGCGTGAGCCACTGTACCCGACCTCAGTCTTTTAAACTGTGATAGGGTGGCCGGGCGCGGTGGCTCAAGCCTGTAATCCCAGCACTTTGGGAGGCCGAGACGGGCGGATCACGAGGTCAGGAGATCGAGACCATCCTGGCTAATGCGGTGAAACCCCGTCTCTACTAAAAAAAAAAATACAAAAAACTAGCCGGGCGAGGTGGCGGGCACCTGTAGTCCCAGCTACTCGGGAGGCTGAGGCAGGAGAATGGCGCAAACCCATGAGGCGGAGCTTGCAGTGAGCTGAGATCCGGCCACTGCACTCCAGCCTGGGCGACAGAGCGAGACTCCGTCTCAAAAAAAAAAAAAAAAAAAAAAAAAAAAACAAACTGTGATAGGTACAGGTTGCTGACAGTTTTAGTCTTAGGACCTAGATTCAAGCCCCCAGCTCTTCCTCTTACTCGGTGACCTCAAGCAAATTGTTTCATTTCTCTAACCTGTTTTCTCATGTCTGGGAATAATGACATCCAAGCCGGAGTTGTGAAAATTCGGTGACATAATGTCTGTACAAGTGCTCTGTCAACAAGTAGGTGTTTGTGTAGAGGGAGGGATTCGTGTTTTTATTACTTACTGGGTGATGATTCCGCTGGGCTCTCTTATGATCAGGTGACTCCAGCGAAATCACATTTCATTCTGTTACCCCAGTTGCTGTGGAAACAGCGTGACTGGAGGCAGAAGAGACAGAATCTGTCCCTGGCCTGGGAGAGACTGAGGGAGTATTGCAGCTGTCACTAACATGGTAGACCCCAGAGGGAGCAGCTTGGGAAGGTGATGTGTTTCGATTGGGATGTCCAGGTTTGATGTGACTTTGGGATAGTCAAGGGGTGGCATCCAGGAGGCAGTTAGGGATCACATGTGGAGCTAGAGACAGAATGTGGAAGTTGTCAGTGCAGGGAAAGAACCTATAGACTCGGGGGTAGATGGTGGATTTATTTGTTCATTCACTATTTAGTCAAGTATTTATTAAGTGCTTTCTGTAGGCCAAGCACTGTTTTAATATAGCAGTACACAGCAGAAGACAAAAAATATTCACTCTCAGTGGGGCGCAGCAGCTCACGCCTATAATCCCAGCACTTTGGGAGGCCAAGGTGAAGGGGTCATTGAGCCCAGCAGTTCGAGATCAGCTTGGGCAACACAGGGAAACCTCATCTCTACCAAAAATACAAAAATTTATCAAGCGTGGTGGCCCTTGCCTGTGGTCCCAGCTACTCCGGAGGCTGAGGCGAGAGGATCACTTGAGCCTGGAAGATCAAGGCTGTAGTGAGCTATGGTGGCACCACTGCACTCCAGCCTGGGCAACAGAGCGAGATGCTGTCTCTTAAAAACAAAAGAAATTCAGTCTTGTGGAGCTTTCACGTTAGTAGGGAAAGACTGACAAATGAGTCAGTAAAACATATGTTGGATGATGAGTGCTATGGAGGAACTTAAGGAAGGGGAATGAGAGTGCCCCAGCTGGAGCTGGAGCATGGCAAGGATTTTTATTTCAATAATAGGATCGGGGAAGGCCTCCCTGGAGAGGGGACATTTGAGCAACATGAGCTATGTATATATCTAGGGAAAAGACTCTGAAGCTGGCTTGTGACAGCAAAGAGGCCAGTGTGGCTGGGGTGGAGTCAGCCAGGGGGAGAGAGGTAGGAGATGAGGTAACAGGGTGGGACTGGGAGCCCCTAAAAAACCACTTAAGGCCTGGAAAGCCATTTAAAAGACTTGAGCTTTTACTCCGGGTGAGATAGGAGCCACTGGAGGACTCCGAGCACAGGAGGTACAGGATCTGCCTTAGTCCTTCACAGGATCCTGCTGGCTCCATGTTGACCATCAACTGCAGGGGCCACACACAGGAGTGGGAGACCAGCATTGCAACAGTTATTTTGTTAATTTATTCCACGTCAGAGACTCTTTAGAATGACTGCTTGCATCTGTCAATGACTAATATATGGGGTTACTCTGGATTCATCAAATGCTAATTTTGATTATTTTGACGTAACTGATAAGGCAGAAATTTCTGGCCACCAAGGCAGCAGCCTTATCTCTGGGTTGTTTTGTTATGTTTTGAGACAGGTCTCACTCTCTTGCCCAGGTTGGAGTGCAGTTGCAAAGTCATGGCTCACTGTAGCCTCAACCTCCTGGGCTCAGGCAATCCTCCCACCTCAGCCTCATGAATAGCTGGGACTACAGGTGCGTGCCACCAGGCCCAGCTAATTTAAAAAATTTTTTGTAGAGATGGGATCTCACTGTGTTGCCCAGGCTGGTCTCGGACTCGTGGGCTCAAGCAGTCCTCCTGCCTTGGCCTCCCAAAGTGCTGGCATTACAGGCATGAGCCATTGCACCTGGCCACATCTGTGGGTTCTTCTACTACCCTGCATTTTCTCCTCTAATCATTATTACGCAACATCTGGATCTTACCACATGGGGCTTAGCCATCTGCTTATGACAGCCCCACACACCTGATTGTTTGCAGTAGCCACAGAAGGCTCTGTTGCCAGCTCATCACCTGCTCCCAGAGGGAAATGCCAACCTCTGTGCTAACTACTCCTGGGCTGGAGGGGTGGCTTGGATAAGACCCAGATATAACTCC